TTATCCATTAAATACCTCTAAAACCTAGAAATCCAATTCTCCATGTAGAATTTAAGAATCCAACCCAATTCCAATATGTTCTAATTTGAATTCTAACCCCTCATACTTCTTAATTAGCTTATTGACAAGTCAAAAATCTGATTCAAACATCAAAAACTCATCCATATCAAAATTTCATCTAAAAACTCATTTTCCAAATCTATCTCTAAAACACTAATCTTGTTGTTTTAATGTCATATAAGCTTTCCTTTAGCCTATATAACATAAAAACTTTCATTTCCAATCTTAAAAATCAAAGAAACTACCAAGTTCAGTTTCTTACCTTTAATTGCAAGCCACACGTTGAGAGAAGGAAGAGAAGAAAATGAGGAAGAAGGAAGAAGAAATGGGAGGTTCTGGAACCTAAAATCACACGTGGTTCTCATATACCCTATAACATTTTATTTTAATTAGAAATTCCTTGCAAATGACCATTTGGTCCTTACCCCATCTCATATTTACTAACCATACTATTTAAACTATATAATTATTCTACTTTAATCACCAAATGTTGAAACTTTGCAAATTAATCACTAACCCGACATGGAGGATGTTACAAGAGAGGTATGTAATATGTATGTTTTCTCTTGAAAGACAATTTTTTCTTCAGGAAATTGTTTTCATTGATGTCAGACTTCCACTTCGTTATTGGTTAGGTAGTTAAGGAGGACATACTGTTGCAAATTAGCAATGCTTTGCAAATGATCAAACTCGAAAAAGATTCACATGCTGCATTTGCTTTGATCGTTGATGGGAAGACTCTTGCATTTTTCCTTGGAGGATGATATGAAACATCACTTCTTATTGTTAGCTGTTCAGTGTGTCTGTCATATGCTGTCGTGTGTCTCCCAAGCAGAAGGCTCTAGTAAGATATCTTTTTTCCTTTCCTCCCAACCTGTTTCTAAGTTTCTACGGAATCAAATCAGATGATATGGCTGATGCCTGATGGTGGAGATCTTATCATATCTTCGCTTTATTTAGGTAATTTATTTGGTACCAGGTAACAAGATTAGTAAAAGAAGGAACTGGGAAAACCACCTTAGCTATTGGTGATGGTGCAAATGATGTCGGAATGATTAAAGAAGCTGACATTGAAGTTGGCATCAGTGGTGTGGAAGGTATGTGGGTTGGTAACATATCTCACTCTTCTTACAGTTACAATACATTCCTGTAATGCTAGTAGCAAATGAATCTTTTGCGTAGTATTATATTAAGGATATTTATATTTGTGAATTAGTTGTAGTCAAAATTTTGAGCTTCATCATTGTTGTCAGTTGCTCTTCTGTTCAGTTAGTAATAGATATGAACCGTAGCTGTTTATGTGCTTCCATCCTCATTTGGAGATGAAGTTATTGTTAGGGTTCTTTGGACTCTTTTTATTAATGTTTAGGAGCAATGACTTGCAAAAATGTTCGGCATTTGCTTGTCAACTGCTGATAAATGTTTCCTTCCCTATCTTGTAAGATATATTTAATGATTTTTATTTCAGTATTATACTTAGGCTTTTGCTGTTTTTGTCTTCCACATGATGCTTTTTAAGACAACATATTTTTGAATGTTAGTGAATTACCTAACTCGTTCCATTTTTGCAGGCTGTAATGGCCGGTGACTTCTCCATTGCCCAATTTCGTTTCTTGGAAAGACTTCTTGTTGTCCATGGACACTGGTGTTATAAGAGGATCACACAGATGGTAATAATGAGGTATTACCTGCATTTTTCATTTTCTTGCACTCTTTATGCTTGGTCGACCTCTAATTCCGTACCACTTTGACCTTCAGGTATGCTATTTCTTCTACAAGAACATAGCATTTGGCCTCACCCTCTTCTACTTTGAGGCATTTGCAGGATTTTCTGGACAATCAGTTTACGATGACTGGTACATGTTATTATTCAATGTTGTTCTTACATCATTGCCTGTAATCTCACTCGGAGCTTTTGAGCAAGATGTCTCTTCTGAGATCTGCTTAACGGTAAGTCTGTAAGACAAGTTTAACAAAATTCATCCGTACGATTAGTGATTTCATTATAACATTTTGTATGCCTATCTGTGTTGCAGTTTCCTGCATTATATCAGCAAGGACCTAAAAATTTGTTTTTCGACTGGTATAAGATACTTGGGTGGATAGGCAGTGGTCTATATTCCTCTCATTATTTTCTTCCTCAATATTATCATCTTCTACGATCAAGCTTTCCGTGCTGGAGGTCAGACTGCTGATATGGATGCCTTGGGGACAACAATGTTCACTTGCATCATTTGGGCGCTCAATTGCCAGATTGTGTTTACGATGAGCCACTTCACATGGATCCAACACCTCTTCATATGGGGCAGCATCCCCATGTGGTATATGTTTCTCTTTGTTTATGGCATGCTATCACCCACTATGTCTGGTAACGCCTACCAACTTCTAGTGGAAGCTCTCGCTCTGGCACCCATGTATTGGATGGCCACCCTCTTAGTAACCATCACTTGTAATCTCCCGTACTGGGCCCATATATCTTACCAAAGATGTTTCCGCCCATTGGACCATCATATCATCCAAGAGATCAGGTAATACAAGAAAGACATCGAGGATCAACACATGTGGACTAGGGAGCGATCAAAGGCAAGAGAAAAGACCATGATCGGGTTCACAGCAAGGGTAGATGCAAAGATCAGGCAGTTAAAAGTGAAGTTGCAGAGAAAGCAACCGTCTTCCGAAATTCATAGTCCAGCCCGTTCATCATAACAACGCTCATTCAGTCTAGTTTTCTTTTTGAAGTAAGTTTAGGGTTCTTTTTTTCCCGGCCATTTGCATCATCACTTTGTGGCCTCGTTTCTATTATCGGTTAACTATTCATTAGTTGATTACACAAATGTAAAGCTGTGGCCTGTGAAAGTAGTCAGAAGAAACTTTGTAGATGTAAAGGAAAAAGGTAGGATTTGAAGCAACTCCAATCTTTGTCCTTTTTCTACTATTGTGATCCAAATGAGTGTTAGATATGGTACATGTCTAAAACGATAACACCAGCTTGACCTCTGACCTCCGGTCCGTTAGGTGGTGGCAGTTCAGAAGCTATGAATCAAATTTTTTTTTTCTAGTAACAATATGGTTGCCATCAATACTATGTTGGCCTATGAATCAGCAGCTTCTGTGGTAAGCTCAAATATCAGTCAAACTGGACATCAATGCCTGTTTAGGTAAGAATAGGCATCACACTGAGAGATTGCCCACAATTGTTTGTTTTAGCTTGTTCCGAAAGCCTTTTGAAGTGATTAACGCTTCTTGGACGCTTGGTCATGATTTTAAAGAAGCATCAGGAATCACACCCTAATCAACGTCGATGGAGCCTTTTGTATGCCTAACGGAGAAGCGGCTATTGACTTTGTTGCAAGGGACCATTATGGTATGTTCGTGGGCGGGGTTGCTCGGAAGCTTGAAGGACCAGACTTGGCTGAAACACTCGAAGCTCATGCCTTTATTGAAGGACAGAGAATGACTGCTGAAAATGGTTGGCAACACACGATAGTGGAAAGAGATGCATTGTCCGTTGTGAACGGGCTAAATAGCCCACTCTTTGCTCAAATCGAGTGGCACATACGCTTGCCCATTGGGTTTTGTCAAAGATCAATCTTTTCTTTTTTTGGCTTGACGAATTGGAATGTATAAAAAAATTGTAATTTTCAATATATTGGCATATGAATGAATTCGTATTATCTTTTAAAAAAATAGCTTGTAAAAATATATTATTACCTCAAAGGAGATCACATGATTCGGCTGCAAGTGAACTCGGCAGTTGGTGGTGATCCAATTTACTGCATTAGTTGATGGCAGGATTATTATGAAATGAACCCGACGTTTAATCTAGTGTATAATTATGTTTAAAATATGATATTAATGTAATTTTTACTAGATCAGTAGCAATCTAAGAAATCAAAATGTGCATGAATTTTGCCTAAGACCTTATTGTACCAAGAAACACCATTGTCTAAATTCCATAGTTTATGAAAATATTAGATCCAAGATTATTAAATAGAAGGCAAACTCCCCCCCTAGATCTCTAATTCTCCATCATTCACCACATGCTAAGGCACAAACCTCAACCAAAACAAAAACACAAAAGAGAAAGAAACCAAGAGATTGTCCATGGCCATGAATCACTGGCAACCATAGACAGCTTGGGTGTAGGTGTCCTTGATCCACCTGAAACTCTTCCTGAAAGACCCTTTCATCTTGCCTTCAACTGCATAAACCTTTTAGCTAGCAACCCTTTTCTTCCTCTGCAGCTCAGGATCAGTAAAAGTCCAGCTTTTTGAAGAAGACCAATTCCCTTAATCTCTTTTCCAAGCTGGCTTTGTTGAGCAGAATTTGCAGAACTTGCACTGTAAGATCTCAGGTCTTGCATGCTCCTTGTGCCTCCTACATTTCCCTTACTTCCACTGTAACTTTCCATATGCATTTCTTCACCATCCTTGTATGATTTGGATCTAAACTGCTCCATCAAAGTAAATAAAAGAAAATGTATGAAATTGTAGACAAAGATTGTTCAAGGATGAAGGGTTTGGCAGTGGAGGAGAAATAAATTTGTTTAGTTGTTGATTATTGTGAAGAGATGAATGAGTGACATGTAACAGTTTCTACTTAAAGAATCACACTATAAGACAGTTGAGGTCGCAAATTACGGGGCAGTTAAAAGCCAACTTTGAACGTTCATTGATAGGTATTTGCCACGTGGAATGGCTTATATTTGACTATGTGAATGAATGGGGAAAAAAATTGTCTAAACTTTACAGCATTTGATTTTGTGAATTTTAAGGAACTGTTGAATGATAGCTTTTGACAGCAAAATTGTATAGCTGTTGTGGGGTCCTATATCTGCATAACTGAAAATTCATCAACTTTTTGTAAGAATTACAAGTATACTTTCATTGTTGTATTGGATATATAATATAAACTTGGGTGAAGATTTGCAGAGAATAAGGAGGATTTCATAATTTTTATATAACTAAAAGAAAGACGCACAACTAAAAAAACCCTAACTGCTGCAAAAAAGCTTGATATAGCATATTAAACCCACCACAAAGGAGTGGGAAAAACTGGACAATCTTTATGGAGCGATTGTGCAGGACCCATGCCATTAAATGGTCAGATATGTTTAAGAACAACATTAACTTAGGACACTAGATAAGCAAAAAGAAAAAGAAAGGGGGCAAGCTAAATAGGACTTGCCGAAACAACAAAACCACCTTGCCGGAACAATCTTCAAAATGGGTAATCTCTCTTCAAAGGAGATCAGCAACGTTTGATGGAAGCTCCTCGATGATCACATTGTAGAATTTCTGGATGTCGAACAGCATTCTCTCATCATCTGTAGTCACAAAGTTGATGGCCACACCTTTTCTTCCGAACCTTCCACTTCGTCCGATACGATGGAGGTAGTTTTCTGGTTGAGTTGGCAGATCGTAGTTTATTACTAGAGAGACTTGCTGCACATCAATACCACGAGCCAGGAGATCAGTGGTGATGAGAACACGAGAAGAACCAGAGCGGAATTCACGCATAATGATGTCACGAGTATTCTGGTCCATGTCTCCATGGGTGGCAGAAACGGTGTGGTCACGACTTCGCATCTTGTCAGTTAACCAGTCGACCTTGCGCCTTGTGTTCACGAAAATGACACTCTGAGTAATGGCCAGGGTCTCATACAGATCACACAGTGTTTCAAGCTTCCATTCTTCCTTTTCAACATTCACATAGAACTGCTTGATACCCTCAAGGGTTAACTCATCACGCTTAACCAAAATTCTAACAGGTTTATTCATGAATTTCCTAGTAATATCGAGGGCTTCAGGTGGCATTGTAGCAGAAAACACTCCAACCTGAATCTTGGATGGAAGCAACTGGAAGATATCATAGATCTGAAAGACATAACAAACATTATTATAGCAAAAAAAGGATCAAAACCTAAGCTCTTAAAACTTGATATTATTCAAAAGGGAAAATAACATGATGAAATAAATAACCTGGTCCTTAAAACCACGGGAAAGCATCTCATCAGCCTCATCCAAGACAAACATCTTAATGTAATCAGGACGAAGAGACTGCCTTCTCAACATGTCAAAGACACGACCAGGAGTACCAACAACAACATGAACGCCACTTTGAAGTATGCGCTGATCCTCGCGAACACTTGTCCCGCCAACACAAGCATGGACTTTAACACCGAGGTAATCACCAAGTGCTCGCATCACTTTCTCAATCTGTTGTGCCAACTCCCTAGTGGGTGCCAAAACCAGAGCCTGGCATTGGACTACAGCATAGTCAAGTTGCTGGAGAATTCCAGAGCAGAAAGTTGCTGTCTTCCCAGTTCCAGATTGTGCCTGCTGAATCACATCAAGACCTTTACAGAATGGAACAATTCCTCTTTGCTGGATGGCAGAAGGCTTCTCAAAACCTAAATTATTATTTTGGACAAGGGAACAGGGTTTTTTCAGCATAAATTTGCAACAACAGAACATAAATAATTCTGTAATTATGAAAGCAGAATACAGAACTTTTATTTGATGTACAACATACCATATGCATAGATACCCCTCAGAAGGTTCTCTAGAAGTCCCATCGCATCAAAACTGTCATAAACTTCATCATAACTTGTGAAAAAATCATCTCCATCAGTCTGGAGCCTGTAAGTTCCGACCACACAAGTATCGGCAAATGGTAAAGCAAATAGAATTATGTATATGCATGTATAAAGTAAAAAAGAAAGGCATTGGCAAAGAAAAACATCTGTGATCTACAAACAAGAAAATTTACAAGTCACTCATTTTCTGATCATATTGACGAGCATCAAATTGGGATCCTTCTGGTGCCAAACCTGCCATGACTGCAGAGGCAAGAAGAATAAAGCAATTAAACACAGTTCAGCTCACAAAATAAAACTTCCAGTTTAAGAATATAACAAATACCAATAAACAGATCAAGATGTTGCCTACTATACAAGCACCAAAAGATATAATATCAACAATGAAAACATTTAATGCAATTAAGATTTATGCCTCTCCATATTGAGAAAGATGTACAAGAGCCAAACTTGCACTCCATGAGAAGCACAGCACAAGCATTAACTTCTGATTTAATATCTGGAGAAGATGTAAAAGAGGTGATGGCTATCTGATATTTTCATCACAGTCCTGTATCAGATAGCATATTGCCCACCTCTACAATATTCTAACCACAGCCAAACACCTATAAAGCAAACTCTTAACACATTCTTATCACCACTCTTTAAACATCACCACACATGACACATACTGAAGACACTTTTTGGGAACACGTGATCATCACTCTTCAATTAATTACACGTCAACTGATCATAATACAGGTTTATGTTAATTAAACAAGTCACAAGTGTTAACTTAGCCTTTATGGAGAAGGTGTCAACCCTCTCATTTAGAGAAAGATGTAAAAGAATTACCAAACTTGCACTCCATGATAAGTGGTGCACAAGCATTAAATTCTGACTTAATGTCTGGAGAAGAGACGAAGAGGCAGATGGCTATCTGATATTTTGATCACAATCCTCTACCAGACACCACATTGCCCACTTCTCCAACATTCCACCCTGGAACATGCACTAAAATGGAAAACCATTTAACACATTCTTATCTCCAATATACCGAAGATACTTCTAGGGAACACATAATCATCACTCATCAGTTAATTATACATCCATTCTAACGTTAATAGTTTAATACAGTTTATGTTAATTACACAAGTATTAACTTAGCCTGCCTGAAGGTTATGCACAAAAAAAAAACTGTGTTAGATAATCCTGATGCAAGGCAACATGTCAGTCTTAAGCTAATTGTCAGGTTTCAATCCGAAAGCAAAAAAACAGATTACTTGGAAATTTCAATGATATAACTGTTATTTAAAGAACAGAAGCTTGGGTTACTATAAACTTCCCAAGATCCTTCGTTTCCTATCCAAAATCCAACATTTTTTTGTTTACTTTCGATAAACAAATATAGAAAAGCTAGTCTAGCCGAGACTCAACCCGGCTAATCTATCAAATCTCAAACTACAAAGGAAAAAGGAAAGAAAACCCAGAAATCGTGCGCATAAACTGATAAATCTCAAAACAAAACAAAAAACTCATAAACAGAAAGCAGATCAAACCCAAATCCCATACACTAAAACAAATCCAATAAACAACAAACCAAAACCAAAACCAAAAAACATAGATTCAACAGGAAACCAATAAAACACAAACACCCAAACCAAAAGGCAATAAATATAAGAAGTGAGGCAAGGAAAAAGAGCAACCTCGAAGCAGATGAAGTGAGTAAGAGCAAAGGGTAAACTTTTGATCGAGAATCGGATACTCCTCGAATCTGCGCCGTGGAGTTGAAAAGAGGCGGAGCAAAGAGAGAGATGGCGAAGACAAAAACAACAAGGACAAGAACAACAAATCTAAAGTGCTGGGAATTGGCTTCTCTCTTAGGTTTTTATAATATGGGTTATTCAGCTTTTTCGACTAACCCTTGGCCTACTAGTCTTACATCCCATCAAAAAACCTTTCTTTGCTCTTCTTCTTTTACTTATTTACCCTTGCTTTTTTGCAATAATTCCTTTTTAGACATTACTTAGGGTGTCCAATGTCCATAGTTGAGTTGGATTGGCTCACTTTCTGTAATAAATTGGATTTGTTCCAATAGACCCCAATTCTATTTTTATTTGCCAAAAGAAAATAGTTATATTTATTTTAAATTAGTATATTTTAATTTATTTCAAAAATAAATACTTAAAATATATCAATTTTATCTAAATATTTAATTTTTTTAAAAAAATTGGTATTTAAAATATAATTTTTAAATATGTATCTAGAGTATTTTTTGTTAAAATACACATAAAATATATCATCTTTTCCATCTTAATATCTAAAAATCGACGTGTCATATTGATTGAAAAATATTGTAGGTACCTATATAAAAATATGGTATACTTTAGGTGTTAATTGTTTGTAATCCAATTGGATTAGCTTAATTTCTATAATAAATTGTATTTGTTCCAATGGTCTCAAATTTTTTTTAATTTAAAAAATATATTTTATTTTAATAATATTTATATTTTAAAATAATTTAAAAATAAGTATTTAAATTATATTTTTTAAGTACAAAAACTTGGAAAATCATTTTTAAAAACTTGCAAAATGGTTTTTGCACCCTTTACACACAATGAAATAGGTAATTAGAGTATTTATATTTTAATAATTTAGAAAATTTGTTTTAAAATATTTTTCAATTTAATCGGACTTGTTTAAAATCAATCGAGGTCATCTTTTTCTCTTAAAAGTTATTTTTTTTATGATTCAAGATAAAAAGATCGATTCGTTTTCAAAAGAATCGATTTATTCAATTATAGTAGCTAAATGATTTCTCCCTATAAAAATGATTGATTCCTTTCCTGGGAACACTAAAAGGATATCTCTTCTCTTGAATGACCAATCAATTGACCGGTAATAATCAAAATTTTAAAAATGAATCGATTTTTCATACCATAGATATTGTATTTCTTTCTAAGTAGTGACTATTTTACATCTCTAACGTCTCCAAACGATTAATAATCACAGAGAGAATATGAAAACAAACTTAAAATATCTTAACAATCAAAGAGAAACATTATTGAGAATATATATCGACATATAAGAGTTCTTGAGTACTTAATTGTTTTATTATTGTTGTAAGAAAATTTGTGAACTATCATTGTTTGTTTGCTAAGTGTTCAAATTGATCGAGTTTATCTTTACAAATGTTCATTATTGTGAGGATTATTTTCATATTATTTTATTTATACTTTCTCTTTGATAGTGATCTTTAAGGTTTTGATATATAACCTTAAGAGATTATTTAAGGTTACATTTTATCCTCAGAAGTAAATAAATATAGTATATGAGAAAATTCTTAGTACGAATAATTAAGATATTGAACGTAAACTCGATTAAATAGTTGAATCACTCTAAATCGATGTGTAAATTATTCATTGTTCTACCTAGCTAATAAAAATATTAAGGGCACAATTGAAATGATAAACAAATGTTGAGAGACTTTTTTTTTCATTTATACATTTTTGTCACAATTGATTATAATTTTATATAGTATTTAAATAAAATAATTAAAATTCAGTACTTAATAATCAAACATAAAATTAATATATCTATATAAAAATTATTTACCACATCACTCGTTATGAGTGAATAATTATTTATTTGTGATCTAAATACAAATTTCTTTTAATTGTGTAATAATAATGGACGGAGTTTTGGGGAATTGGGATTGCACAAGAAAGGAGAATTCTTGTAAACGAAGGAAGCCTTCATATATCCATTATTGTTTTATTATTACTATAAAAATACTGCTTTCATCCAAATTTGATTTTGGTCTCACCCACCCACCTTCATATCATTTATGCTTTTTCTTCGATTCTTATATTCTATTTTCTTTTATTCTTTTTTGTGAGGATTTTTTTTTAAATTGGATTGATATAAAAGTAAGTGGCAAAACTATATCGCTTTTTTTCAAATAGGTGTTAAAACACTTTTTGGTTAAACCAGAGCCTAACGTTACAAATGTTACGGCTGTTAAATTATGTTGTCAAAGAACATGTGTCACCTTTATAAAATTTTTAAATTTTATTTAAATTAATAAAACTTAAAATTATAATTTTTAAAAGAAAAAATTCCAAAATTTTATAAACAATAAAAACCTCAAATCATTTAAAACTCTAATTTCAATGCCTTTGTCACCGTCGATTGCTGCCACTACCGTTAATCGACCGACCATTCAATGATGTGTGATCGACCAATTACCCATGACTAAAACACCCTTGTTTCCTAAACTGACGAGTACCCAACGGTGGTATAAATGCAATTTTTACCTGTATCATCAATTTTCATTGCAATTAGAGATTGGAATAAGGGGTTTTGATCGTTAGTTGTTCTTCCAATCATGCGTAATTGAAGTTTTAAATGAAAATTTTTAATTTTTCTAAAATAAAATTTTCAAAATTACCAGCACATGACACAAAATTCCGTATATAGCCCATGCATCTAAAATGAGAATGTTTATAACGTTAATCACTTATATTATCAGGAAAAAATTATCTGCTAAAAAATAATTTGAACACTATTTTATATTAAGCAAGTATAATTTGAATACTATTTTTATATTAAGCCTTTCTGATTTCCATCAAAACCCACTTGATCAAAAAAGCCCCAACTTACACATATCGGGCTTTCTTCTACTTTGATCCACACTAGGCATAATGGGGACAAGTAACATTCTGTCCCTAACTTAGCCAATTTATTCCAACTTAAACCCATAACATTTCTTTTATTCCTATTACTTCTTAAACTTTGAAACTTTGCCAAATTGATCTCCATTTTTTATTCTTGATATCCAGATATAACACAATGCTTTGTCAGTTTAAATGGCAACATAAGGTCTATAACACTGACCAAGGGTTGCCATGATTCAACCTTACAAGTAATCGACATCAATCTTTCCCATAAAAGTTTCCATCAAGTTGTAGAAAAAAAAACGAAACACATGTCAGACCTTCACCATGAGTTCAAATACCAAAACTTATATCAACTCTAGTTCAAAGACGGGAAATATACTCATATCGGACACTCACCACAAGTCAAGAAACCAAAACTAATATTGACTCTTGCTTAGAGACACAAATATATCATCCTCCCTTGGCTTTTACATGGATTGGTTGCATTTGCTGCAAATAATCAAACAGTTCTGGAAATGCATAATAAATGCATAAATAAACATAACTACTAAATTAACTTGGTGTAGACCATCTTTTGAGATTAATATGCTCGTATAGTCGTATGGTTAATGGTATATAAGTATTTAAGTGTTTATAACTTATAAATAAATTGAGAATTATATTTTGGTGTTTAAGTACTTATAAGTTTTGAATATATGCATTGACACTTTGATATTTAAGTATTTATAAGATAATTTATAAATATTCTGTATTTTTGTGAATTTCGGCCTTTTTGGCGCTTCGTGTGCATAAAACGAGCGCTTTCGCTTAGCGCTTCGGCGTCTAGGACCCTAGGCGCTTTAGGGCGCTTTACGCTTTTTAAAACCAAGTTTAGAAGTAGAGAGTTTGATGTTATCCCTTTTCTTACTAGTGAAAAGTACATATAATGAAAAAAGTTAAACTCAAATAAATTTAAAAAGAACTTCAATCAGGTCAGCTTTGTTATGCATTGTGCCTAGGCGAGCAAAGTGTATGCCTGATCAAATGCACATTGCCTGAAGAGGTTTGAGACACTTTTGTTATCAGAAGTTAAGTCGTAATGCCTACGCACAATCGCACATATGCTTTGACAAAATTGGGACACCATGCAAGGGATGGGATCATCACTTTTGACCATTACCTACTGAGAAACATGCCAGAAAATATGACAATTCTAACCCATACACGACATCATGTCCGGCTATGAAGTTACAACACATGAAATGCAATAAGGAACTCAAACTATGTTCAGCTCATAGTCGAATATCAAATTTTAACTTAGTATTCTTCAGCTAGATCCACTCACATTTCATTTCTTTCTTTCGGAAAATAAGACAGCAACTTAATTTCTACAAAGTTTCACCTACAATTATGCCTAAAAAGGGTTTCCGTGTATACAAAAACATCTGACAAAAGTTAATAACATGAAATCTTTTCCCCTACCACAACAACCATATCACCAACAATACATAAATTACCCAGATAAGGGATGAATGTTGCATACAAGTACATGTCTCAGTCATTTTAAAAGTATTTTCATATGCTCGGAGATCATTTCGAAGTCCGAATATGTGTGTTATCAAACAAAAGTAATTGAAAAACTGAAGAATCCAGTAACAAAGAACAGAATGTCAGAATCAACTAACGATGAGAAATTCCTAATTACCATTTCTCACAATTAAGTAGAGAATGAACAAAGAGAAAACACACGTTTGGTTGAATACAGATCTATTAACCTCGAACAAAGAAACTTGAGAAAATCATTAAACGTCAGGCACACACCATTATTCATCACATCAATATTACATGAATTTTAATTCCTTCAAAACCTAATATCAATTTTTCCAAGATTTATCCCAGCACTATCAAACCTTTCGACTTAACGAAATATGAACTCACATAAGATTTCAGCTTTTTTTTCTTCGTGTTTTAAACTGGGACATATCTCTTCGAGACTTAATTCCCGGCAACCACGGCTCCAGCCGCCAACCCGCCAAGCGCGCCGGCAACCGCAGCAGACCTCACCGCTCTGGCAGCCCGACAAACAGCTCCTGTCGCAAGACCGCCGCCACGCTACTCCAGACATCATCAGGGTAAGTCACCGCCACGTCCCCACTTTCCATCCCTGCATAAATCAAACCCACAACACGAATTCTATTCTCCCATGATCGACCCGTGTGACCCGAACTATTTA